CAGAACCAGGGGGTAGAAGCACACAAGGTTACACTGCCAGACCAAGGTTAGTTTCAAGTCAAACCAACCCTTCCTGAAGTGTTTCAGCTTAATATGTGCCTTCAGATTTCACCTAAGGGCATGGCTGTTGTAGCAGGTGTGCTCTTGGTGAGTTTCCTATAACTCTCATAAACACCTTGAAGGATGCAGCTAAACGAGTGTCTCTTATTGGTGTGCAAGCAAATACTGCAGAACATTTACAAAAGAGAAGAAAAAAGTAATGCTTTAAAAATATGAATATAGTGCTAGGAGTGCTGGTAACAAGGTTTAGTAAATGACTTTGAAACTGTTTCTGGCCTATCTTTTTTTCTAAATCAACTGTGTAGTGAATTTTGGCACTTGGAGATGTGTACTCTCTGTTCTTGCACTGTGTTGCACCTTGTGTGCTGTTCTGTTGGTGGAACATGGAGCAGAGTGGGACCCAACAGTCCTCATGCTGTATTGTCTTTGTGTTACTGAAGGAGTGAAAATATGCTTTTCCAAAGCATTTAAAAATGATTGTTCACATATAGAGAGTAGGTAGAGACAGGAAGTTTCATAGCAACTTCTGTGGTTGCAACCATAAAATATCAGCTCTGTGTCTTAAACTGTGCTTTTGTTTCCTGTGCTGTTCACAAGCTGCAGAGTATTTCAGGTATGTGGGTGGTTTCTGCCCATGCTGGTTATTACTGATGTGGTCATGTGTGTCCACACATTAGAGTCACATGTGACTAGTCCATGCTAGTCAACTATCACAGATAGTGTCTAGTTCGTAACCTCAGTGGTTATGATTGTGACTGGTGTGTCTCAGAAAGCATGTTTTCTTACTAGTGAAACAAATTATTTTACTGTATGATGTGTTTTGGAAGTGATTTGAGTTGAATGCTTTGTACCTCTTCAGCAGCTTTTTTGCCCATTACTACTACTTAAATACTAGCATCCACAAAGTGAACTTTAATGCACACTGGTTACCTGAGTCAACCGAAGTTTCAAGGAATGATGAGAAAAATAATATGAAAATGAAACTTTAACTGAAAAATCAACTTAAGTGAATTATACCCTGGCTAATATTACAGTTGAAGGGTTATTTTGACTCGATTCACAGTAGCAAGAGCTGGAAATCCCTTCTTAGCTGTAGCAGCCAAATCTGTTCTGGACCCACTCTGCCCTCCCTGGTGCTGGCTAAGCCTTATAAAACAGCCCCCAGGGAGTCTGTTCCCAGGTGAAGGTCTCTGGGACTTGTGTCTCCAGAGATCATTCTGGTTTCCAACCAGCTCAGAAAGCTCTTCCTGCTTCCTGGTGAGTCCAACAATAGCTGCATGCAACGGAGGGCACATTTTAGCTGTAGCTGCTTGGGTGCTGAAGTTGGGAGTAAGAACCAATCATTTTTCCCTCTGTGGCCTATGTCTTCTGCTCACTGCTGAGGCTGAGATAAAACCAGCAGTGACACTACTTCAAATGCCAGTTTCTTATCTACTGGATATCAGTTATTTGAAGGTAGCCATGAGAGAGGCTCTCAATTCTTGCTCTTATGCCCATTAAGAGAGAGGGAGCAGAAGCATGGTGGAGCTAAGTGTCTCCCTAAAATTACCCTTGGTGCCTGTGACACAGCCTGATCATATCTTTGGTGTTTTTTTTTCTTCACCTCCACAGGCACCCTTCCCCTCCAAATGTCTGTGGGTTCTTAATTACACTGTTGTGTAGCCCCAATCTTTTGCTTTGGGAAGTGGCATGGGTTTGCCCCTTGTTTCTCTACGCCCACTGCCTAGTGTAGCAGGTGGATGGGTGGGCTGGCAAGGATCAAGTGCTCAGGTCTGGGCTCCTGACTGGCCATCACTGTGACCGTGCTGCTCCATGAAACCACTTAACATGGGTCCTCTTGAGCAGCACCAGCCTGGCCTTGCCCAGCAGGTATGTCCTGCCTGGATGTGTCTGGGCACCCCCAGCTGGCACCATGGCAAGCAGCATTAGGTCCTGGCTCCCCTCTGGCAGTGTCCCTGCCCCATGCTTGGTGTCCAAGGGGACATGCCCTGTTGCCCAAGAGAAACACTCCAATACAGCAATACCTCTTGGAGAGGGTTTGGCTGTTATTTTTCTTATGGTTAATCCTATGAAAGATGCTGTTTGTTTAAAAAAATATATTTAAAAAAAAAGAAAAGGGGAATAGTGGTGTGAGCAGCAGCTGCAAGGAGATGCCTCTGTGTCTAAGCTCCAGAGGCTCTGCTCTATCCCACCAGCCTTCTCCTTACAAGGAGGGTGCAGCTCTGTCAGCTGCGTGGTGGGTCTGTGCAAATAGAGGGAGAGAACCTGAAACCATGGCTGCAATATTATGAAGTGATTTTAAGTGCTGTCTTCTTCACATATATGTTCTCTGTCCCCTTTTCAGTCACTAGGGAACAAAGCAAATTAATGCCAACAGAGGCTGACTCAAACCTTTGCCCTCATTTAAGGGATTCCAAAAAATGCAGTTTTGTTACGTGCTGAAGTCTGCTGCCCTACAGCAGCTCAAGGACTAGAACAGTCTCCAGTGTTTAATCAACATGAAAGGCAGTGTGTTGCTAAAACTGCCAATGACCAGTGCTGATCTTGTATACTTCTACTTGAGTAAGACTGAATTTATTGCATTTATGTATTTTTAGTAGACTTTTTTCAACCCATTTTCTAAGATAAAATGTAAAGAAATAAACCCCCCCTCAGCATAAAAGTAGTATTATAAAAAATTATGCAGGCAAGCCAACCAAAAAGTAGTCAAGGATAAACTAAAACAAAAACATTCCACATGTCTGTTTTCAGTGAGGTACATGAAGTGCTAGCGTAACTTTTTATTTAATTGTGGGGCAAAAACCTCCTGAAGTTATGTAGATTGTAATGTTAAAACAAGAGACTTCATTCTGTAAGAGTGAAATTGTGTGTAAGATAGTTATGTCCAGAGTTTTTATATTAAGAGTTGGGTCAAAATGTGTACAAGATGGTGGTTTACTGAGCACAAAATGGTAGGTGAGCCCTCAGGGGACAGCATGTGTGAGCCAAGCCTGCCCTGCTGCTGTCAGGGAATGGTACTGATAGTGGCTTCAAGGAGCTCATAGCTTTGTATCATCTTTTTCTGTCATTCTGGAATTGAGTATTATGTGACATGGCCTTTATATTAACACAGACTTCTTGGAAAAAGTACAGCTATGTATCAAGTAGGATTTTTCAAAAGAAGTGGCCAAATTATGTGTTCCTGTGTTAATAAACTTGCAAACTAGCAGGACTGAAGCCGTGCCCTTCTGCAGAGTTTGTGTTTGCTGATGGTCTGAACATAAAATCAAAATTTGTCATGGCATGGCCTATGTAAAGTATCTTCTTTGTACCTACCTATCAGGTTGATGTCAATAGTGTTGTCATGTGGTATTAAGCTTGCAGGATGCCAGAGTTCCTTACTGGGTTAAAAAAAAAGGAGGGGGGGGGGGGGTGGGG